TATAAACTTTATTATTGAAATAAAACGAACATTAAAATACTGTACTAAACCTGTAAAGGGGTCAATTGTTTTTCTGAACATTTATTTTGTATTTGTTGATTATTAATGGTAGATATATCATTATTTAAACAATTATAAGGAGGAAATAAAGAAGGGTTTGTTATCTAAAATAAAAACAGAAGAATAATATAAAAAATATAAATGCATTGAACCTGAATTTGAGTTGTTAGTAGATTTTGTAGGGCCTCGCTATCCCTAGTGCGTTTCTTTTTTTGATTGATCTGCCATCTTTTTCTTTTATTAATGACGGATAAATCACCACCTGTACAATCATTAACTGAGGTTAGGACATGGCTTGTTATCTAAAATAGAAACAAAAGAATAAATAAAAAAAAATAAATGCATTGAACTTGATGAGGAGTCAATATACCACCTGTACAATCATTAAATGAGGGTAAGACAGGGCTTGTTATCTAAAATAAAAACAAAGAATAATATAAAGAATATAAATGCAATGAACCTGAAGAGGAGTCAATATTAGGTTCAACTCCCTAGAAATAGTTGGGACATTATCAGAAGCTAAAATAGATATATTCTATAATATAAAAGAGTATAAAAATATATATATATATAGAAACAAAAGAATAAATAAAAAAAAATAAATGCATTGAACTTGATGAGGAGTCAATATACCACCTGTACAATCATTAAATGAGGGTAAGACAGGGCTTGTTATCAAAAATAAAAACAAAGAATAATAAGAATATAAATGCAATGAACCTGATGAGGAGTCAATATTAGGTTCAACTCCCTAGAAATAGTGGGGACATTATCAGAAGCTAAAATGGATGTATTATATAATATAAAAGAGTATAAAAAAATAATAAGGCTAACTTTATTTTGAGTTGTTAGTAGATTTTAGTAGGGCCTCGCTATCCCAAGTGCGTTTCTTTTTTTTGATTGATCTGCCATCTTTTTCTTTATTAATGACGAATAAATCACCACCTGTACAATCATTAACTGAGGTTAGGACATGGCTTGTTATCTAAAATAGAAACAAAAGAATAAATAAAAAAAATAAATGCATTGAACTTGATGAGGAGTCAATATACCACCTGTACAATCATTAAATATGGGTAAGACAGGGCTTGTTATCTAAAATAAAAACAAAGAATAATATAAAGAATATAAATGCAATGAACCTGAAGAGGAGTCAATATTAGGTTCAACTCCCTAGAAATAGTTGGGACATTATCAGAAGCTAAAATAGATGTATTCTATAATATAAAAGAGTATAAAAAAATATATATATGAGGCTAACTTTATTTTGAGTTGTTAGTAGATTTTGTAGGGCCTCACTATCCCTAGTGCGTTTCTGTTTTTGATTGATCTGCCATCTTTTTCTTTTATTAATGATGGATAAATCACCACCTGTACAATCATTAACTGAGGTTAGGACATGGCTTGTTACCTAAAATAAAAACAAAAGAATAAATAAAAAAAATAAATGCATTGAACCTGATGAGGAGTCAATATACCACCTGTACAATCATTAAGTGAGGATGGGACATGGCTTGTTATCTAAAATAAAAACAAAAGAATAAATAAAAAATATATTAATGTATTAAACCTGAAGAGGAGTCAATATTAGGTTAACCTCTCTAAAAATAGTGGGAATATCATCCATCATAAGCTAAGTATTCTAAAATGAAAAGTATAAACCTTTTTAGTATATATAGATGAATAACTATATTTTGCATTTGGTAGATTTTATTGGGCTTCATGTCTAAAAATATTTTCTATAAAAAAAATAAAATAAAATCAATAAAAAAATAAAAATAAAAATAAGTACATACCGATGACATGACGTAGCGATGACATGACGTCACGATGACGTAGTGAGGACATCGGAAAATTATAATATAGATATAATACATTTGGAGGTGGAGGGGCTGGAGACCCCTAAAAATATGAACTTTTTTTATGCCATGTTAATTAAAAATAGATAATTTTAAAAATGTTAGCTAAAAAATATTTTGAGCCCGCTGTGATTGTAAAAGTTAACGACACCCCTTATATTATAGAATATATAAGAATAAGAAAATTTTATCAAATAGTGTGAAAAAAATGACAATAAATTGAATAATAGAATATGAATATAAAAGTGAGAATGTATATGGGCAAATAACTAGGAATTTTCATGTTATTATAAAATCGTTTTATTCAATTCAGTAGCTTTTTTACAAATTTGAACCTTTGTTTTATCATGAATTACATTTTTACATTTTAAAATAATCCTCTTATCTCAAATTCATCATCCTTTATATATAATATTCAATTAATATGTTAATATAAAATAAATAAACAATCATTTTACAATGTTAAAAATTTTATGTTGGTCGCTGGAAGTGTTAACTAAAAATATATTAAGTAAATCTAAAAAATAATAAAATAAAAAATCAGTTTTACCATAAATGAATAGGTTACATACGGTAAATGGATTATTTCAACAGAATACAAAAGACATATGCCTATAGAATCTAAAAATATATCGATAAAAAACATAATGAAAACTATAAATAATAGAAAATATAGACAAGATACACATTTATAATGAACATTCATTATTCTGCCCTGGCAATATTGGAAAAACTTATGATTTTTTTTATTTTTCAAATAACCATGTTAATATTATATAATAATGTGAAATAAAAAGTATAATCTATTATTTATCAAGAAAATTAAGAAATTGATTTTATTTATAGCTCGTTGAGCAATATCAAAATTTATGATAAAACACCTAGCCAAAGACCGAATTTATTTTAAAACAGTTCACGCTAAAACAAAATCTGCATTTAATTATTTAACGCCATCTATTTATTTTAAATAAAAAGTGATATTAAAAATTAATCTTCATATTATTCATCCCACAATGTCTTTAAAAGATATTTTATGATGTCCTTATCAATATTTTATAGTTTTCTCTAAAATATATAATTGGCTATATTGGTAAATATGATAATTGATAAATTTACTGTAAATCTACGACACATAATATTCCACTGTTTGTATGCTTTAATTTTTTTATTTAATTTATGATTTAATTAAATCATTAGTATAATTATATTTTACTTTTATTGTGATAAATAAATTAAAATTACTCACATTTTTAAATATTATATTTGATATATTATATTATTTAGTAATTTTATGGATCTATTATTAATAATTATAATACATTTCACTTTTGTCAAGACTTATTTTTGGCTTATATTCCATTTCTTAAAAAGCATTTTTGGTTCACTTTTTTTATATATAAATGCTTTTTTCAAAAAATATATAAATTATGATGAATATTTTTATAAAAAAATTCTTTTAAATTATTGCTTAATATATATGCATAGATTTTTGGAGGTCAGGAAATATGGGTAGGACTAAGGGGGATATTTTTTATAAGCTTAAAATGATATTCACAAAAAGTGATAAGTTTCTGAAGGAAGGAGGGATTTTACCCCCCACCCTTCCAGGCTACCCCTATGCAAACTAGCATATAAATAATTAAAATAATACAAGACATTTTTAAAAATAATATTTTTTTAAAATACAAAATCTAATTATTACAGTATAAAATATTCTCGATTGATGATATAAAAAATTTTGCGTTTAAAGAATTACAAGTGATTGTTTTAACTGTTGAAAAAAAGAAGAAATAAATTTAATATAATACATCAAATGTCAGTTATTTTCTGACAGGGGATTTAGTATTTCCTAGGTGGATGGGAGGAAAAGGAAATTATCACATGGGCTGTTTTTAAGGAGTTCTTTGTTTGCTATTTGGAGTGAAGATATTGGATGACGAGAAAGAATGGGGGATCAGAAGATGCCAGCTGGTGAAGAACAAAGAATGGAGGAGATTCAACTATTTTTATGAATATGAAATCTTTATAAGTATTTGAATGTGAACATAAATAAAATATGGTATATGTTTATTGTTGGTATTTATTTAATTATTAAGAAAAAATTGTTTGGATTGTTAAGTATATTTTTGTGAGAGTAAAGGGTTTATTTATTTATTTTAGGTGATATTTACAAAAGTGATAAAAAAGATTAATTAATTCATACATATGCCTCTATTGATAATGATTTTTAAAAACCATATAAAGCAATATAATTCTTAGCAACTTACATTGATAAAAGGTCAAAAAAAACTAATGTAACTATTAGTTATATTTTTGACAATGTTTTATAGAATGGACTAGTAAGGAAAAATTTATAGGCTTAACCAAATCAATAATTCTTGAAGAGAGAATATAAACTTATTTATAGTTCAAGAAGTTATTACGGAGCCATTTAAAAAATTAGTTTGGTGGCTATTCAAATTTTTTAGAGGGCCCGAGCCCCTGCACCCCCCCCCCCCACCCCATCCTAGTGACGCCACTGAAAAAAGTAAAATCATGGATAGAAAATATCAAAATTAATTATAAAAAAAATAAACTGAGAGATAACAAGATATAAAAATGCCTTTTAACAGTAAATAAGATATTATTTCTTAAATTTTTTTAATTTAGAATTTTCTATTCTTATAAGTAGAAATATCATGTGTTCATGTTTGATTTAAACGGTCAAATAAATTCTGTTTGAAAATAGAAAAACATATCTAGCGAACCAACTTTAGTATTACAACAATATTTAAAAAACTCAGAAATACGTTAATTTAACTTTATTGTAGTGGTAAATGTAATTTTTGATTCACTAACTTTCATCGAAAATTATTTTAATCGCCAAATATGCGAATTTAAATGTATTCAAATAATTCGCATTTTATTTTATATCAAGATTATTTTATACTTATTATACCCACCCATTATTGCAGGCTGATTTATTAAATAAGTCTTTTTTTATGATTATTTTATACTTCAACCAATGATTTTATATCATTGACTAACAAAATATCTTGATATTCTATTCAGAAAGATGTGATTCATAATAGAAAATTGTACATGTGTATCAGCACTATGAATCAAATATTGTCTTCTAATATAAGTGAATCTGAGGAACCATGTATTATAGATATTAATCAGCTAGGTTGTTTATTACCAGATGGGAGATTAATTAAGTTGCACGACTTGTTGAATCAAGCATTAGAACAAAATTCAAACCCTTCAATAAATCAAAATGATCCACTTTTTATTAATTTAAATGAATCATTAGATGCCATTGATAATTTGGTTAATAATATAAAATTCAATGATAATAATAATTATATTTCAATAAAGAATGATTCTACATTCAATATATCCAATGATGATTTAGGTATTTATATTTGTATTAGAACTAAATAGTTATTTAATTTTTTTAAGTTAATGATCAAAATAATTTAAATGCAAACCTTCTCATATCAGATTTAATACCAGTAAATATTGAGTTACAGGTATAATATATTTTATTTTATTAATATTTATATATATGATTTTACAACAATGATATGTGAAATAAAATATTAGATCCAGGCCAGCAAATGCCAGTTTAACATGGATAAATTATAGTCTTAACCTATAGGCCAAAAATATTATATATTTCCTTCATATTTCTTTTTTTTGCTTGATTCAATATCACAATATCATATTTTCTATTAAAAATTATAAAATATATAATTAATTATTTCTTATTGTTGAATATTTAAATACTTTGAGTTTGAAAGATATATTTATAGAATTCTATTTATAAAGACCTGGATAAGGCCTAAACTTAAATATTTTATCCCTTACACTTTAGGCTGATTAATTTAGCTTATTTTTAATATGATCTAAAAAATTAATATACTGTTTATTATAGTAAGGCATTACATGTTATAGGGTCTGGAAGTTAGGCTATCAATTATAAATAGCTCACATTTTTTAATTTTTTGTAGACTTTTTGTCTGCAAATAAGTACCTATCATGGACTGTCTAAAATTATAGGTGAGGTGTACTTTACATGTATATTCACATGCTGGAATACAACATACAATTCTGATAAAATCAGTCCCTTTTTTCCCTATTATAATTGATATAAACAATGATTACTATATGCCCTAGGCTATATATATTTACATGAAAGTGTGTTGCCCTCTAGTTTGGGATACAATAAATCTACACTAGGTATTCCTCATTTCCATCATTAAAAAATTGATATGAGGTGCCCTTTACATGTTTGTGGGTAAGCGGCACATATTTGTACACAACAGTTCAAAAGACTGTCATTTATATGTATTGACATAAAAAGAGTTGGGTAAAAAATAACTATACTTGACCATATATATTTAAATAATTTATATTTATATTACATTATTAAAAATATTAGGCTGGGCCAAGCAATTTTTCATTGCAAATCTCTTATTTTGAATATGATTAAGATTCTTTGTAATAACAATGCATAACAACTATGAGCTTATTTCTTTTTCTAGGCTAGATATTTTTTTTGAAATTTTAACAGACCAACCCACAAGCATTAAAATTTTGATATATTTATTTGAAAATAAATTACAATATGCTTATTTCTTTGTTAAGAGCTCTTTAACCTAAATAGTAATCTATAAATAATATAGTAAATTCACAAATGATTTAATAAGTTATTTATGATACGATCCATAAATACATGATATAGATTTCTAACACAATAGATTTATAAAACGGTTGTTGTAGAAATAGACAGCCATAGAGAAAAAATATATAAGAGCCTTACTAGATTTGGGGGGAGGGGGGGGGAATTAGATATAGATATTAAAAATATGATGGTCATACATTTGTGCAAATAAAATTTAACGGGCTAGGCCTTACTTTTCATAATATTTTCAGGCAAATTTAAAAAAGTCGGACGGGGCCGGGCTCTGCAGATCTCTATTATGGACTAATTTTTTTTATATCATCTATGGTAGGGATCGGTAAATTATCATTTATTGGTTAGTGTTGTTAAGCCGTTTGATTTAGCCCATTTTAAATTAATGGGGTTAGCCAAAATAATATTAGACAAAGCCTCGAGATTTTGTTAATAGATGTCCAAATTCTTGTGCCGTCTAGAGCTAAATCTCCAGGCTTGCATAATATTTCTTAAAAATCGGGCCGTTTAACAACACAAATATTTGTCAACCATCGATTAAAAATATTGAAAGTTGGCTGATACTGAAATGTATTTTAAAATGTTTAGATGAACTTAAAGTTGCTAGAGCGCATTTAATTAATATTTTTTTTATTATCATTTTTTTTATGATCGTCCCATAATTAAAAAAAAAATAACGTACCCTTTTAAGCTTCCACTAAATAAATAAATAAAATGATCAATGACGTCTCTCATTTTTTTTCCTGATCAAATCGGAAAATATAAAATCTAGATATTTTTTTTATCAGAAAATTTGAAAGGTTTACCAAGGACATTTCATATTTAAAATATTATTATGAAAGTATCAAGACTTTATCATTTATATATATATAAATTTTTTAAAATATATATCAGAGACCTGCAGAGGTACCATTTGTACGGCCCGGCCCGGGTTTAAAAATTTTAGGCCCCGGCGCGGCCCGGCCCGAATATTAAAAAAAAAATTTTTGGGGCCCGGCCTAGATTTAAAAAAATTTTTTTAGGCCCGTCTTGGAATTTTTAAAAATTATTCAAAAAATTTGTTATTTCGTATTTTATCATATTTTTTGGCTAGTATTATCGTTTAATAAGCAAGTATATTAGCTAATCTTGTTAAACGGCTCGTTTTGAGCCGATTTTTAAATTTGTTCCTTCTATGAGCAAAATTTTCAGACTTGCATAATATTTTTCTGGATAAAACACTTAGTTAGCCGTTTTTAATAATCGGCTCAAAACGAGCCGTTTAACAACACTATATATTTTTTTTATATTTTAAACAGACATTTAGTATATTACAAATTGATACTATAAAAAATTTGTGTAAATAAAATTTTGAGAATATACTATGTATTTATAAAAAAAATAAAAATGATATTTTTAATAAAAAATATAACATATATTATATATTATATAATAATATATTTAATCCTTTGCGTATTTATTCCATGGTAGGAAAACTATAAATTTAGTATGTAAAGATACTATGAGTGTTAGCTAGTGTTAACTTCCACCAAACATATTAATCATAACTATGTATAATCATTATAACCATATCTAATTGACGAATATAATAATTCATGTTGTATAAATTTAAAAAAAAAATACGGCCCGGCCCTGGTTTTTTTTAAAAAAAAAATTTCAGGCCCGGCCTGGGTATATTTTAAAAATTTAAAATACGGCCCGGCCCTGGTACCCGGGCCGGGCTTAGGGCCGGGCCTGCAGGTCTCTGATATATATATAATGAATTTATTAAAAGCAGGGACCCGAACCGTTATTTATAACGGTTCAGTTTGGTTACGGTTCAGTATGTAAAATATTATAATGGTTACGTTTTGGTTACGGTTCTTAAAAAAAAATTTACAAAGGTTCGGGTCGGTTCAGCTAATTATAAAGGTTCATATTGGTTCATTACGGTTAGAAATTTTTTTTTTTTATTGAAGCAACACCATCGTCTAATTTATTTTTATTATATGTATCTACGAATTATATATAATAAAATATATAAGATTCAAAATAACTCATTTTTAAATATATTATAAGTAATATATTTTCTAATATAAATGGATTCTTATTTGTTTGTTGTGACGATAACACAAATTTTAAGCCCGAAAAGGCCCTTTCAACAGAAACTTGTGTTGCGGGAACCGCCAGTACTATAAGAGCAAGTTTATATAATTCTGGATATTCAAATATTTTTGATTCCTAAAATATAAAAACTGAACCGGTTTAACCTTTTTTTATAAATATTCTTTTTACTCCTTCAAAAAATAAATATATCGGTTCGATTACGGTTACAGCTGGTATTTATAACGGTTTATAATGGTTTAACGGTTCGTTACGCCGGCTGATTAAAAGTCAGATTTTAACTAACTATACATTTTTATGCATGTAGGACAAGAGAGGATTACCGCCCAATTGCCCCGTATATCTAAACCATAAGTATATATGTGAGAAAGATAGCTGATAGCGTAAAGGAATACCAATTGAAAGCATAGGTTATAGTTAATACCACTCTTTGCATATCTTGACGCTGTATCAGATACAATTAAAAAATAAGATGAGAGAGTTGTATTACAGTTGGCCATGCAACTCATTTTAATAGCAGGGCAGGGCATCCTGTGAGTAATTGACCCTGAATAAACACTTCTACAATGTTGTTGGAGGGTAGAAAAAGGAATCTCTGGTTTCTCTTCAATTAAAGTCAATAAGAACCTCCTTAGATTGTCATCAGATCCTATCCAACTCATGAGTTCTATGATAGTTTTAAGGTTGGACACTAGGCTTCCGACTTCCATAACTTGAAGTGGAGCTCTACGAGCACGAAGCTTGGTTCGTGAACCAAAATAGGGGTAAAATGGACCGCGACAATATGGGCGGACTTTAGGAGTGAGTTGAGTTGACACTGTCATCAATATTCTGGTCTCTTTCCTTAGTGTTTAAATCTTCCCATCTCTTCACCTTTATCATACACTGAGGTGGAGTGCCTGTTATACCTTCTAGGTGAATCTTCCAACCATGCTCTCTAAGAAGTTGTCCAGTCATTAAAGTTTTTATTAATTTGTCCTTCTCTTCATCTGCTTCATCACCAAACAACTTCTTTATTGAAAGGTTTTTTACTAAAAGAGGAAGTTGCTGCTCGAAATCAAGTCCTTCTCACGGAGAGTATAAAAGATCTTCCACTAGTTCTTCGACATCCTTATCAGGCAGTCTTCCTACCTAAAATTGAAAATAGCGAGGATGTTCATATTACACCAGAACTATCAGGACTATGGAAATGCTTCGGCCATCCAATAATAGATATGGACGCCGCCGTGTGTAGCTGGATAACCAAAGGATTCAAAAATAACTTAATCTACATGGGTAACGAAAATAGAAATATATGTTTCGATATGTCTTTTCACGTGAATACTATAAAAAGAATAGAAAGTGGCCAAGTTTGAATGTCAACCATAAAACACATCCCGAGATTCGAAACGCTTATTCATCAGGGAATTGGCCTGAGACAAAAAAGAATCAATGGAGTCCAAATCACTTCGCACATGTAACGTTTTCCAAAACCTTAGATTTTGACTACCACATTGATATATCAGATCTTTTGGCAGATAAAGCTATAATTCCCTCACGTGAAGAATGGGTACATGAGTACGATATACAAGCTCATAGAACAATGTATGGTAATTTCCCTTCAGCACCTAAATTTTCTAACAGAAGTGCGTTAATAGATTTCATATTTAGAGAAACTTTTTATGCTAAAGAAATAAACGAATAAACAATAATGAAATTCCTACGCCATGGAAAATATTAGTTGCCATTGTA